TGTACTATGAGAATTAATGGTAAAACTACTACTCAAACAGTACTCTATATTTTGTGTGTCTGTGTGGGTGCAGTCTGTTGAAATCTTTGCTTAGTATATACTAAGTTGATCTTCTATATATAAAGATAATTGAAAATGAATATTGATGAAGAATGGGATGAGAGAGGGAGTGGGAGATTGGATGTTTGCGGGTGGGAGGGAGGTTATGGGGGGGAGCTGCAACAATTCAAAAGCTGTACTTTGGAAATTTATATTTATTAAATAAAAAAATTATAAAAGATACTCACTGAAAGAGCAGATACTCCATTAATCTACAGTTAAAAGCCATCACAGGGGGAAAAAAAAAAGTGTCTCCAGAAATACCAAAAAATGAATGCAGCAACTGAAGAAACAAGAATAAGGATGACAACATGATGCTTTCAAAGGAACACAATACTTTAATACTAGAATGTGAAAATAAAGAGATTGAAGAAATGCCAGAAACTGAATTCAAAAGAATCGATCATAGGATTACTTAAAGATAACTGAAAATGAATCTTGACGAATGGGATGGGAGAGGGTGTGGGAGATGGGATGGATGAGGGTGGGAGGGAAGTTATGGGGGGAAAAGCTGCTATAATTCAAAAGTTGTACTTTGGAAATTTATATGTATTAAATAAAAGTTCAAAAAAGAAGTAATCAGAAGCAAATCCATGAATTAAAGAAATCCACGGGTTGGTGCTGTAGCATAGCAGGTAAGCAACAGTCTGCAGTGCTGGCATCCCATATGGGCATTGATTTGAGACCCAGGAGATCTATTTCCAATATAGCTCTCTGCTATGACTTGGGAAAGCAGTAGAAGATGACCCAAATTCTTGGGCCCTGTACCTGCATGGGAGACCCAGAAGAAGCTCCTGGCTCCTGGCTCCTGGCTCCAAATGGGCCAGCTCTGGCTATTGCGGCCATTTGGGGAGTGAACCAGCAGATGGAAGATCTCTCTCTCTCTCTCTCCCTCCCTCCTTCCCTCCCCACCTCTGCTTCTCTGTAGCTCTTCCTTTCAAATAAATGAATCTTTAAAAAAAAAAAGAAATCCATACATGACTTAAAGGAATATTTTCCCATGAAATTGAGATTTTAAAGAGAAATAAAAATTAAATATTGAAGTATTCAAAAGATCAAATAAAAAATGTAATGGAAAGCCTTGGGCCATCCTCCACTGCCTTCCCAGGCCACAGCAGAGAGCTGGACTGGAAGAGGAGCAACCGGGACAGAATCCAGCACCCCGACCAGGACTAGAACCCCAGGATGCCAGCGCCACAGGCAGAGGATTAGCCTAGTGACCCGTGACGCCTTCCCCACTGGCTGTTGTCTTATGCCCTAATACACGTTTCACTGGTAAATCACAAACTCTTCTGATTAAAGGTGACTGAAAACAGAGATCAAGTAGGAAGATATCCTGAAGCTAGCCACATAAGGGAGAAAATTTTACTTCATTCATCAAATATTTATTAAGTGCTTGTTCTCACCGAGCCCATGCAAAGTATGGGCCTGATAAAGAGAATACAGTACTTGCTCTCAGAGAAGTGACAACTTGTGCATATCAAAGGTGAGCATTGGTTGAGGATGGCAGAGATATACTTCTCAAACTATTCAAAACAATTGAAATGAAGAGAATCCTCCCAAACTCCTCTATGAGGAGTTAATTCAAAATCACCTTAATTCAAAATCAGAAAAAGATACAACAGAGAAAGAGGATTCTAGACAAATATTCTTGAGGAACATCGATGCAAAAATGCTCAATAAAATGCTAGCTAATCGAATCCAACAACACATAGGAATTGTTCACCCATACCAAGTGGGTGCAAATCAATAAATGTGATGCATCGCCTTAACAAACTGAAGAATAAAAAAATATGACTATCTCAATATGTGCAGAGAAAGCATTTGATAAAATACATCACTTAATAATGAAAACCTTAAAAAAACTTATTATAGAAGGAACATTCCTCAACACAATCAACACAATATATGACAAATCCACAGCCAGCATCATACTGAACGGGGAAAACTTGGAAGCATTTCCAATTAAGATCCAGAACCAGACAAGGGTGACAGCTATCACCACTTCTATTCAATATGATCCTGGAAGTTTTAGCGAGAGCCATTAGGCAAGAAAAAGAAAGCAAAGGGATACAAATTGGAAAAGAGGAAGTCAAATTATCCCTGTTTGCAGATGATGTGATCCTATATAGAGAGGAATCAAAATATTTCATTGGGGACTATTGGATTTGTAAGAGAGTTTTGTACACTTGTGGGCTATAAAATTAACACTAAGAAACCAATAGTCTTTAATTCCAAAACTAGAAAAAGACATTCTTTGCAGATCAAAAAAAAAAAGATGCTAAAATTCATACAGAAACACAAGAGACCTCTTATGAACCAAAATCAAAGCCAGAAGCATCACAATATCTAATTTAAAGACATACTAAATGGCAGTTATAATCAAAACAGCCTGGTACTGGCACAAAAACAGTCTTGTAGATGAATGTAACAGAATAGAAACTCCAGAAATCAATCCATGCATCTACAATCCTCTTACCTTTGATATAGGAGTTAAAATCAATCCCTGGAGCAAGAACAGTCCCTTTAACAAACAGTGCAGGGAAAACTTGATCTCCACGCATAAAACTATGAAACTATACCCCTACTTTAAACTGTACACAAAAATCCACTCAAAATGAATCAAAGCAGGCTGGTGCTGTGGCACAGCAGGTAAACTGTAGCCTGGGGTGCCAGCATCCCATATGGGTGCTGGTTCGAGTCCCAGCTGCTCCACTTCCAATCCAGCTCCCTACCAATAGCCTGGGAAACCAGTATAGAATGGCCTGAGTAGGTCCCTGCACCTGCATGAGAAACCCAGAAGAAACACCTGGCTCCTGGCTTCAGATCAGCCCACTCCAGCTGTTGCAGCCACTTGGGCAGTGAGTGAACCAGTGGATGGAAGACCTCTTTCTCTCTTTGTCTCTGTCTCACCTCTGTAACTGACTTTCAAGTAAATAAATAAATCTTAAAAAATGAATCAAAGACCTAAATCCATCACCTGACACCATCAAATATTAGAGAACATTGGGAAAACTCTGCAACAGAATCGCATATGCAGTCTTGTAAAAAAATCTCAAAAAAGATCCCAGAAGCATAGGCCATGAAATCAAAGCCAAAATTGACAAATGGGATTACATCAATCTGAGAAGCTTCTGCACTACAAAAGAAACATTCAGCAAAATAAAGAGGTGACTGACAGAATGGGAGAAATTATTCACAAACTACACAACTTTGATAAAGGGTTAACATCCAGGATCTATAAATAGCTCAAGAAATTTAACAATAAAACAAACAATCCAGCTAAGGAATGAGCAAAGGTCTTGAACAGGAATATCTCAAAGAAATTCAAATGACCAACAGACACATGAAAAAATGTTCAAGATCACTAGCCATTAGGGAAATGCAAATCAAAACCACAATGAGGTTTCACCTTTCTCCAGTTAGAATGGCCCTCATATAGAAATCAGCAAATGACAAATGTTGGTGAGGATGTGGAGAAAAAGGTACCCTAAACCACTGTTGGTGGGAATATAAACTGGCACGGCCACTGTGGAAGTCAGTATGGAGATACCTCAGAAATCTGAATATAGACCTACCATATGACCCTGCCATCCCGCTCCTGGGAATTTACCCAAACCCAAAGACATCAGCATATGAGAGTTATTTGTACTTCTGTGTTCACTGCAGTACAATTCACAATAGCTAAGATATGGAATCAATCAAGATGTCCATCAACTGATGACTGGAAAAAAATACTGTGGTATATATAAGCTTTAAAAAAAAATGAAATCCTGTCTTTTGTAACAAGATGGCCACAACTCGAAACTATTATACTCAGTGAAATAAGAAAGCCTAAAAAAGACAGATATCATATATTTTCCCTGATCTGAGGTAACTAATAGAGTACCTGAAATGTAATGTATTGGCGTGAAACAGACATTTTGAGAACTGATTATTTTTTATAGCCCTTGTCTCTTCCGTTGAGAAACAGTGTTTGCTTTATTTTGTTTTTCTCTTCATACTATTGCTGAACTCCTTTACTTAGAATAGGGTTAACTATATGATCGTTAAGTATACTGAAAATCAAGAGTGGGAATCTGAGAGGGAGTGGGAGGAAGCATTGGAGCACGGGAGGGAGGGAGGTTTGGGGCAGCAGGGAAGTGCCACTATGTTCCCAAATCTGTATATATGAAATATATTAAAGTTGTATAACTTAAAATTTTAAAAAATACAGAGTACAAAACATTAATGTATATGAGTGAAATAGACATTCTGAGATTTGAGTATTGTTTATATTATTGAGGAATAGTGGTTTTCCTACTTACTATTTGCTGAATTCTATATTTGGTGTAGGGTTAAGCTTTAGGTTATAAAATACATTGAAAGTATGTAATTGTAAAAATTAATAGAAAAAAAGAATAGAAGAAAGAAGGAGGATGGGAGTGTGGGAAGTATCATTATGCCTTTAAATTTGTATATATGAAATACATGAAATTTTCTCACCTTAAAAAAATAAAGGTATCTAATTCCCTCTGTCTCTTTCTCTCTCTCTCTCTCTCTCTCTCTCTCTCTCTGTGTGTGTGTGTGTGTGTGTGAGAGAGAGAGAGAGAGAGAGAAAGCGAGTAGGGACTGTAAGAGGAAAATGAGGAAGGAAGGGAAGGCTACAAATGTATCTCAATAGGCTAGGGCATGACACATTTCTCAATTTCAACCAGAGACCTAGATAGAAAATAGAAAAGGGTGCTCCATCACTAGCTGTGGACCCATCCTTGAATAACATTCCCAAAACAAAGGGGTCTCTCTTTAATCTCCCTGTTTCTACTATTATTCAGTATAAGGCACAAGTGACATAAGTGAAATTTGTTTCATCATACAACCACACTAATTTGTTTGTTTGTTTTTATTGAAGCAAGACCTGGGCAGCCTACAAGTAAGTCTCCTTTCAATCTTATTATTACATTTATTTCTTATGGAATCTATTTAGAGGCTGATTTGTACCCTGTTGTGACTTAAGATTTGTATTTCTGATTCTATTTGCTAACTTCTTTCAGCATTAATCACCCTTTAGGTTTTTTTCCCTATTACTATTTCTAGGTACTTATTCCATTTTCAGCTATTGATGTCTATTTAGAGACTCCAATTGAAACTGATACCTGATTACTTGATGTGATGCTGTGATAATGTTTACCCGGTACTAACAATGTGCCTGGCACTGTACTCAAGGCTTTACGTGTGTGTGTGTGTGTGTGTGTGTGTGTATAAGTATGTATGAGTGTCTATATGTATTTATGATAAATATTTCTATTCCCATTATATAAAGAAGAAAATTGTGAGACTCGGTATCTTGCCCATGATCACACATCTAAGCGCCAAGTCTACCTAACTGACTTTAAAGTCAAACAGTGCCTACATTCAGCCAAATAGTCACCCAGCCATAATATATTTATGCTAATGGATGAAAAAGAAAAGTATTTCTATACTTAGCCTAAAAACACAATTATTAACAAAAAAGAATTGTAGTATAATGATTATGATGAATCAACACAATCATTCCAAAGAAGTAAAAGGAATGGACAGCATAAGAAGAAGGTAATAAACTCTTGGTGGTATAAAATGCTTTAGGAAAGTTTGAATTAACAAAAAGAAATCAGAAGAAAATAGCCTCTATCAATAATTCCACTCCTAATCTTTCTTTCCAAAAAGATACCCAAATTAAGAGGGGTTTTAATAGAATAATCTGAAGATATTTATCTTCCCACTATATTTGATTTTTTTAAAAAGTTATTTATTTATTTATTTGTTTATTTGAAGTCAGAGTTACAGAGAGATAGAGCCAGAGACAAGAGAAGACAGAGAAAGAGATCTTCCATCCTTTGGTTCACTCCCCAGATAGCCACAACAGTCATTTTAGGTCACCCCACAAAGCTGGCAGGGGACCATATACTTGAGCCATCTGCCACTGCTTTTCCCAGGCCATTAGCAGGAAGCTAGATTGGAGATGGAGCAGCTGGGACACGAATTGGAGCCCATATGGGATGCCAGCATCACAGGTGGCAGCCATACCTATTATGCCATAATGTTGGCCCCTGATTGATTCTAGAAAGTTTGGTAGTCTCTCAAAGTTTTGTTTTTAAAATTTCAGCAGAAAGAGTTTGAGAATAATGTCTTCACATTCAAGAAACCTCTCATTTATTTGATTTCTTTTTCACACTAAAACAAGAGCCAAGTAAGTTTACTTTGTTTATATCAGTTCTGGGGTTGGCTCTTATTCTGATCATACAGTTCTCCAAACATTTAAGACCTTAACATTCAAGTTTTTCAATCTCTTTTGTTTTATATTGAATAGTTTCCTCTAAAGTTACCGATGAATATCTTAAAAGATAAAAGATCCACTGATGGCAAATCAAATAATGAGCTAGCAAAAGGTGACCTGAAATTAGAGATACTTTTGAACATATTTTAAATCAGATTATTTAACTGACACATAACTGTACATGTTTTACAGGATACAGTATAATAATTCAATACACTTACATAATGTATAATAATAAAATCAGGATAATTAGCATTTCCATATCCTTAAATATAATCTCTTTGTATTGAAACCTACAAATTCTTCTCTTCTAGTTCTTTATAAAATATATAAAACATTGTTGTTAACTATAGTCATTTCACTGCTACAGAACATTTGAAATTATTCCTCCTATACAAAAATTTTAAAAAATTGTCACATGAGAAGTTATGTTATTTTATACTATATAAATGATTTTGGCAGAAAAATAAAAAAGATGAAAGAAATGTAATTGAATTGGCAAAGTTAAACTAATTGATATTTTACTCATTTAAAATGTAACAAAGGCCTACTCTGTGCCAAAGAGTAGGATACAGCAAGAATCAAGACAGGAAAAAATACTGCTTTCCCAGAGTTTATATATAAATTTAAATATTCCTGATACATTTCACATCAAGAGAGATTGAAAAGAACAGGAAGAAAAAGTGTTCCTCTCTCCCATTTCTGGAAATGGAATTCTTACATTTGACAGATGATGTTTAAGTAGCACATAAGAGTATATTTCTGTCCTCATTCACTGAAGATTATCGGTGTTCTGAAACACTGGAGATTTTCATGTTCTGAAAACTTACATTATTGATATCTGCAATTGTAAGGAGACCTCTTTCTGTTTGTCATGTACATTATACATTTACTATGGGATTGTTGTTTCCATTTTTTTAAAGATTTATTTTATTTATTTGAAAGAGCTACAGAGAGGCAGAGACAGAGAGAGAGGTCTTCCATCCGCTGGTTCACTCCCCAGATGGCCGCAACGGCCGGAGCTGCTCCAATCCGAAGCCAGGAGCCAGGAGCTTCCTCGGGGTCTCCCACGTGGGCACAAGGGCCCAAGCACCTGAGCCATCCTCCGCTGTTATCCCAGGCCACAGCAGAGAGCTGGATCAGAACCTGCGCCCATATGGGAGGCCAGGCCTTAACCCACTGCGCCACAGCGCCAGCCCCATTGTTTCCATTTTAAAAAAAATGTTGGCATTTATATTTCTTCATGCCTTCCTCCAATTACCAGAATTTCATTGCACTATTAAAAGAACTGCTAATAAAGATTAATGGAAAAATAAATGTTAGTTTTTTCTAGATAAATTGCCTATCTAAAAACAAACAAGACTTTGCACACTAAAAAAAAAATCAGCAAAAATTCTATTATTGTTGTCAATACTGTTGTGTCAACTCACCCTAATACTTTGTATTTGAATTTTAGCACATGCAGCAATACCTATCAGTAAGTTACTTTTTTTTTCATTAATGTGGTACAGTTGATGCCCCAAAACATGGAGGAAAATTTTCTTAATTCTGACCCAAATCCCATTTAATGCTTGTATTTATAAATTCCCTCCCCCCCCCATCACTCAGCAATTTGCTGGGTTATTAATTACCCATTAAAAATAATCATTTGACTAAGAGACTAAAAAAGAAGCATTTTGTCTTCTTTTTAAAAATTTAAACAGCTTTTAGTAACAAATGAAAATTTTCCTTGCTACAAGAAGGAAAGCTACACAGAATGAGATATAACAAATGTGGAGATACCAAGAAGGAACAGAGATAAAATAGGAAAGAGAATAACTGCAATTAGCATTTAAATTGGCAATTGTATAAAAGTTCTATATAGTACTTAAACTCTCCTTAACCGGACCAGATAGAAAAAAAAAATGATCTAAGCATGTATGTATTAGTTGCCTTTTGTCTTTGCAAAATTAAAATATACTATACAGAGCCACTCAAACCAGACTAGGACTATTCCTTTACCACAAAAGCTTTAAGGTTAATCCCTCTTTTTCTATTGTACATATCTTTCCGGGGGAGGTTTAGAGTCTTCCAAAAATCTCTTTGTTAATCCCTTGGAAATAACAAGGAAAGAAACTATATTCTTAATCCAAAAATTCTGCTAATGTATTTTTGTTTCATATTGTCCTACCAGTTACACCAATACCTATCGGTAAGTTATTAATCATATATTTCTTAATTCTAGTGTCTTTAAAAAATTTTTCCTGAAGTATTCTCATACATACTTCTGATCCCCCACCACCTCTAATTTTGTAGTATCCTCTTAAGTACTGACGAATTTAGAAACTACAATATATCCAAGGAGTCACATAAAATAATAATGAAATACGGAATAAAGTATAAAATATTAAGAACCTGAGGTAGTATTTACAAACATAATAAGTGCTGGCCTTGTTCTGGTGAAATTTACATAGTCATATATTACTGATCCCATTTAAATTAACCTGATTCTTTTAGAAAGCAAATTTTTGTTTAAGCTCATAATTTCATTTCTAGAGATAAGTTTTAGGGAAGAATTCTAAATATATAATAAAACTGCTTGCATGATGCTAATGGGTTATATAATGCAAAGGTAATAGATAATGGTAGTTGAGAAAGAAATCAGATGGATCAAAGTACAAATTCCAGTTAAAACAGCAACTATGTGACTTTGTAATTTATTTTTTAGTTTGTATTATCTCTATTCAGCATAATTTCTAATTACTTCCAAGCAAACCATTTCTCATTTTCCTTCTTCTACATTATTGGAACAATGAATAATAACTTAATTATAAATTGACATAAATCAGAAATCACTACTAAACAATGGTGAGGATTGGGCCAGGTAGAAGCCAGGAGCCAGGAGCTTCTTTCATGTCTTCCATGTGAGTGGCAGGAGTTCAAGCAACTGGGTCATCTTCTGCTTTTTCCAGGCCATTAGCAGGGAGGAAGATGGATTAAAAGTGAAGCAGCTGGGATGGGAACCAGTGTGGATATGGGGTGTTGGCATCACAGGCAGTGGCTTTACCAGCTATGCCACAGCACAAACCCCTGCTGACACTTTGACATATGAAAATCCTGAACCCTGAGAGTCAAATTGTTTTCCATCTCTTTTCTTCTGTATTTTCTAATATTCCTATAAGTTAAAAATAGTTTTATTTTTAAGTTTGTTGTTGTTGCCATTACCATTATTATTGTTTTGGTTTTTTGTTTCATTTGGTTTGGAGTTTCTTAGTCAACGTTCACAGAAATAAAATAAATCACATGGAAAGGACTAAAAAATGTTCTTCTTGCTAGAGAGTTACGTTAGAAAAGAAAAACAAAGGGAAATCATGCGAGCAAAAGATATTGGAGTCAGATCACAGGAAAGACCACGGGAAAGAATACACTTAAGAATTTCATATTCCATTCTGAAACTATAGGGTCACAAAACAAAATAAAAGGCAGAAATAGCAAAATTAAAGATGTATCAAGTGAGAGTATAAAGAGGGACATAATCCCAAAGAATAGAAAAAGAAAGGAATAGAGTTGTCAAAAGTAGTGTTAAATGATTAGGTATTTAGCCTAGTGGTAAAGATTCCTGCAAACTGCACTCCCAGCTCTGGATCCTGACTCCAGCTTCGCACCAACGCAGACTCTGGGATGCAGCAGTGATGGTTCAAATAATAGGGCTCCTGCCATCCATGTGGGAGACCTAAATTGCATTTCTGGCTCCCAGCACTGGTCCGGCCCAGCCCTGGCCTTTGTACGCATTTGGGAATGAAGCAGAAGGTAGAATTTCTCTCTTTTTCTCTCCTCTGGGTGGGCAGGAGGGGTCTTGGACCACCCGCGCTGAAAAATAAAAGCCTTTTCTGACTCCCCTCCTTGAAAGAACTGAATTGAGACTTGTCTTTCATGATATTGGTGCAAATTTCATAAATATATGTTTTCATTTAAGAAAAAAAAGTAGGTCTAAAAATACCAATTAATAAACTTATACTAACAGATCAATAAAAAGCATGACCCAATGAAATGCTATCTATAAGAACTTACTTCAAATATTTTTATATAGACAACTTTAATTGTACTTCAATCCCCTCAAGATAGTTTTTTTAGCATAAAGAGAACAGTCTTAACATATTTCATAGATAAAATTCTAAGAAAACTGTAGTTCCCTACCTCTTTTCCTTCCTCCCTCCCTGAATCCAATCCCCATCCTGTCTTTTTTCCTTTAATTATTACAATAACATACTAACAATAACAAATATGATATATAAGCTGTGATAACATAACATTATTTTTTAAAACAGCAGAGGTATCAGTATCAATATAATATAAAATAGGGCTCAGTGCAAAGAAAATTACTAATGACAAAGATAACAATATACATCAATGCATCAAGAAGACAGAAATCTTAAATATGCATGCACATAAAAGTGCTTAAAAATACATAAGAAAAAATCTTATAGAGCTGAAAACAGTAAACATAAACATTCACAATTATAGTTAATAAATTTAATACCCCATACTCAGCATTTGATAGAACTACTAGATGGAACATGAAAGACATGAAAGAATTAGCCATGCAGATATCTAAGAGGAAATATTTCAACCAAAGGAGACCACAAGTAAACCAAACTGGGTAGAAAGGCGTTGGGAAAAACAAGAAAGCCTGTATAACTGGAGAAGAATGGAAAAGACACAAAGAGAATCTACCACACAGCTATGAGGAGATAGGTTTTCTAAACCCTTCTTGCAAGAGACTGTAATGACCAGCTTTGGCTCAAGCAACTTAGGGAGCATTTGGTAGCTCCTAAGCACAGGGGTCTGACAGTTTAAAAGGCTCCTTCTGGTTGCTCTATTGAGAACTGTCTAGGAGGCAAAGGTGAAAGCAGAGAAAGCAATCAGAGAGATGACAGTAACTTGGAACACAAGGAGCCTTACAAAGGCAGGTAAAAGTACAAAATTCTTGTAACACACTAGTAGATTGTTATGCCACCACAGTTCATTTCCTACTAGAGGTCTTGATGGTATCTAGAAGAATTAGAGAAATGAGAGTGGGGAGAAAAATTGTATTTCTTATTTAAAAATTCTACAATTAACCTATCTTCTTGTTTTGATTTTTCAGGAATAGCTCACATACCCACTGGTATGTTTCTTTTTTATTTTTTAAGATTTATTTATTTTAAAAGTGGACAGAGAAAGAGAAAGGGAGAGAGATTGAGATCTTCTGTCTATTGATTAAGTCTCCAAATTTACACAATAGCCAGGACTGGCCCCAGAACAAAACCAGAAATCAGGCACTCCATCCAAGTTTCCTGCAAAAGTGGCAAAAAAAAAAACAAGTACTTGGGCCATCATCTGCTACCATCTTAAGTGCATTAGTAGGAAGCTGTATCAGAAGCAGAGGAGCCCAGTGTTAAGGATCAGCATTCTGATATGAGTTGTGGGCATCCTATGCAGCGGCTTAACCCACTGTGCCACAATGCACACTCTCTAAGGTTTTTACCTGTTTCTAGTACGTTAGTTTCCTCTAAGGGCTGGAGGGAGGGGAAGAGGAGGACAAATATTTTCTATAAAAGCTAGATAATAAATATTTTAGATTTTACAAGCCATAAAGTCTCTGTCACAAGTACTTAAATCTGTTGTAGTACAAAAGCAATCATTGGCAATACATACAAGAATAAGCATGTGTTTGTCCCAATAAAACACTCTTTGTAGACTTCTTGAAATTTGAATTTATGTAATTTCAGTGTGTCACTAAGTATTATGACTGCTGTTTTCAACCATTTAGAAATGTAAAATCCATTCTTACCTCAAAAAGCTAAAACAGGCAGCAAACTAGATTTGTCCCATAGGCTATAATTTGCCAACCCCTGACATAGAGTTTACATAACTACATTTTCACCTCTGGTTATCGTATTGTCTCTCTCACAATTTCATGCTTTCCTATTATTTGTGCTTTTTGTACTAAATATACCAAGGAAAATCACCCTGAGAGATATATCTTTATTTCAGTATCATAAATACTTCACAACAAACATCATTAGTAAATAGTGTTAGCATGTATCTTCAAAACAAGACCATAATGCATCTATATTTTGCAAACTGTAGTCTTAAAACCATGGGCAAAACTGATAAGGATTAATGAAAAGTAAAGTTCATTTAATTTTCTTATCACAAGTTCTTTCCAAACTACAACAAACCAAATAGTCAAGAAATAGGGAAGGGAAATGAAGGCTTCTCACTCTTAAATAAACAGAATTTAGTTGTTAATGGCCTAGTCCATCCAAAGCTTGGGAATTGAAAGGAGGGGAACCCCAATATCTACTAATGCGTTTGTCTTTGCTTCCTTCAGTGGACAGTTCTGGAAAAATCAGTAAGTTCATATCATTTGCTTTCTTACCAATCTCTGATTCTAGAACCTATGGGTTTTGTTTCCATATTGCTTACATGACAAGGTCTTCTACCTCAGAGTAGGCGTTGTTCCTTAAGTTAGTGGTTCCCTTGATTTTCAATTTTATTTATTCTTACCTATTTTACTTTTGCAAGAAAATTTGATAGTCTTGTATTGGAGTCTAATTATCTATTACCAAAATTATTGATTGCATGTATTTCCAGTTAGTCTATCACAACAGAGCCTATTTTCTCTGTGCTATACTCTGGCAAATAATGATTGTTGATAAAAAAAAATCTCCTAAAATAGATATAAAATAGACGTACAGACAAATGATGATATTGATAACTGACGAACAATATACATTTTCCAAACTGATCATGATAGTGGATAACAAACTGACTTATGAAAGAACAAAACTATATGGTTTGGATTTGTTGGGACTGATATTAGTTACCCAAGGATTCAATGGCACTAGCTAAATGACATCCCAAATATAACAGTCTCTGTGGAAGGGGATATAGAGTTTTGGTGAGCAGTACTCCTGATGATGAAGCAGAAAGTTTTATACTCTCTAGAGGTCCTGTTTCTGCATTGACTTAGAAAATATATCATGGGAAAGTAAGTTCTCCATAAGTTAAAGAATCCCTACTGATCTTTCTTTTGTGTTTTGTTTTTAGCACTTTCTCCTGTGGGTAAGTTCCTTATCTATCTTCAACTCTGATATTTTACATTGCTTCTATTTTATTTTCTGGCCTGGCTATTTTTATCCCAAAATAGAGAATTCTTCTTCAAAGGTTACTTAAATGTCTCTATTATCTGTCAGTATTTTAAATAACTACTTTCAGAAGGATTGCTGCTAAAAATCCTCATGATTCCAGCAAAATATAATGAAAGAAAGATTGATTTCTGAGTTTTATTAATTCTTTGCTGGGAATTAAAAACTTTTTTGTTATAGCAATAGTAAGAAGTTGATACAGTATGAGAACATCACTTATATACAATCTTTACATGTCTGTTAAGTGTTTATTTATTTATTTATTTTTGACAGATAGAGTTAGACAGTGAGAGAGAGAGAGAGAAAGGTCTTCCTTCTGCTGGTTCACCCCCCAAATGGCCGCTACGGCCAGCGCGCTGCGCCGATCTGAAGCCAGGAGTCTGGTGCTTCCTCATGGTCTCCCACGCGGGTGCAGGGCCCAAGCACTTGGGCCATCCTCCACTGCCTTCTGGGCCACAGCAGAGAGCTGGACTGGAAGAGAAGCAACCGGGACAGAACTGGTGCCCCAACCAGGACTAGAACCCGGGGTGCCAGCGCTGCAGGCGGAGGATCAGCCTAGTGAACCGCGGCACCGGCCTGTTAAGTGTTTTTAAAGCTAAATAGAAAAAAAGACTATTTAAGAACAAAATTTCATCTACTTGCTGTCATCTTCTAAATACCTTAGTTTTGAGGAACAGTAAGTATTAAGCACCTGCTACACACTGTGTACTTTCAGAAGCAGTAGCTCCCTCTCTTGCCTGCTAGTTGTTACTATCTCCTTCTTTACAGATCAGGAAAGTCACTCAGATATTTTCCTGAAATTGGAAAACAGCCGTGTCAGGAGTTAAATCTAGGTCTCTAAAGTACATACTCTTTCCACAAATGTCTTTTTAATGATTAGTCATGAAAACATATATATTAATCAAATGTTTGTAAATAAAAAAATACATGTACTACAGAGTTGAATAATTAAATGCACACAAAAATTCCTTTTAAAAATAGGAGACTTCCCATTTAATATTTTAAATTTAGTGTGACCCATTTCAAGCATTCTAAACACCAACAGATATAAAATTTTTTATATATAATTTTAACTTTATTCTTTCTGATTCAGGGTACAAGAAACAATATGCATTCAAGCAGTCAGTATGTGCCAACATTCTGCAAATACCCACCCCATTTAGAGAAGATGGTAGGAATGTGACCTAATAGGTTTTCCTTACAAAAAGAAAGAGGGATATCTGTGATAGTTAAATTTATGTGTCAACTTAAGTCAGAAGAACTCTCAAAAATACAAAGGCTCTAAGAACAGGTAGCAGGCTGTCTCTTCCAGGATGTAAATTGGTTTTTAGTGAATTTTTATGTTTATTTATTTATATAGTTAGTGTTTTGTTAAGGATATTTGCATCTATTCTCATTGGGGATACTTGTCTATTTTTCTTTTGTTGCATCTTTTTCTGGTTTTGGAATTAAGGTGGTATCGGCCTCATAGAAGGAGTTTGGGAGAATTCCCTCCTTTTCAACTGTCTTGAATAGTTTAAGAAGAATTGGGATTAGTTCTTTAACAGTTTGCTTGAATTCAGCAGTAAAGCTATCTGTACTGGGCTTTTGTTGTTGTTACTGTTGGGTCTTTAATACTGATTACACCTTCATTTTGATTATTGGTCTATTCAGGTTTTCTATGTCTTGATGTGTCGATGTGGTAAATTGTATGTGTCTAGAAATCTATTTCTTTCTATTTCTTCTATATTTTCCAATTTGTTGGCACATAGCTATTTGTAGTAATCCCTGATGACTCTATTTCTGTGGTATCTATTGTAACATCCCCTTTTTTCATATCTGATTTTAACTTGGGCCTTCTCCCTTTTCTTTTTTGGTTAGTTGGGCCAAAGGTTTACCAATTTTGTTTATATTTTCATGAAAACAACTTTTCATTTCACTGGTCTTTTGTATTTTTTATTTCAGTTTTTTTATTTATTATTACATTCCTCCTACTAATTGTGCATTTGGTTTGCTCTTATTTTTCTAGGACCTGAGATGCATTGTTATATCATTTATGTGAACTTGCCTCTTAGTACTCTTTCTTTTACATTTTTAAAGATTTATTTTTTTCAAAAGTCAGAGCTAGAGAGAGAAAGAGGGAGGGGGAGGGAGGAATCTTCAAGTTGCTTGTTCACCACCCGGATGACTGCAATGGCAAGCACTAGGCCAGGCTGAAACCAAGAGCCAGGAGCTTCATTGTGGTTTCCCATACAGGTGACAGGGAACTTGAGCCATCTTCTACTGCATTTATCAGGCCATTAGGAGGGAGCTGGATTGGAAACCGGGCATCTGTGACTCAAATAGGCACCCATATGGGATGCCAGTGTTGTAGGCAGTGGCTTAACCCACTATGTCCCAACATCAACCCCTTATTACTGCTTTTGCTGTATCCCCTAAGTTTTGATATGCTATGATGTCACCTTCATTCAGTTATAGGAATCTTTTATTTCTCTCTTGATTGATTTATTCTATGACCTACTGTTCATTCAGGAATAGGTTTTTCAGTTTCCATGTGTTTGCATATTTTCTAGAGTTTCTTAAAGTGTTAATTTTAACTTCATTCCTTTGTGGTCAGAAAAGATACATGGTATAATTACACCTTTTTTGAGTTTTTTGAGACTTGTTTTATGTTCTAGAGTGTTTTACCTTTTAGACAAAGTTCCACGCACTGATGAACAAGATGTGTATTCTGCTGCTGTGGGATGAAATGTTCTGTAGGTATCAATTAGAATCATTTGAGTGGATGTGTAGATAACTCTACTGATTTTTTTGTTGGATTTTTGTCTAGATGGTATGTCCATTGATGGAAGTGGGGTGTTTATCCCATTATTGCTCTATTGCAGCATATGTCACCCTTTAGACACATTAACATTTAATAGCCAAATGCCCTAACACATACATTTACTGTAGTCACATCTTCCTGTTAAATGGATCCCTTAATCATTGCATAATG